CGACCCCTTGGGCGTCTACCCCTCGGTCCTGACGAAGTCGCACGATCTCGGACGTGGAGCGCAGCGACGACTCAAAGGTTAGATGAGATTCTGACAACTATCCGTCGGAAACTTGATAGACTCATTGCCTCCGATGTATGTTAAGTTATTTTATTTAAATTTAGTTACTCGTTATTTAAGTAATATAAATACTTTTATAAATATTTTTATGCAATTGTGAACAGGTGCAATGGTTGCCATACGACAGCTCCATGCCACATGAGATAGAGCCGAGGACTTTTTATTGCGGATTAATCTGGTACCACGATATTGTCGAGTTGTACTTTTCTGTGCGATTTCTGCGCCAGTTGGGGTATGTACAGACCATCCATCCCCCTATGTTCACGCCAATCACAACCAACCGTGCTTGGGAGTCGAGGCTCTACAAGGTTGAGCATTCTCAGGTCGCTGCAGTATCTATGTAGAACCGATTTCCGACTTCGCAGACCGTCAACACCAGTATGTACATGGTTACTACAGATGATCGAGGAGAGGCGACTGCGGAGTACTTACAGTGGTACCGTCGGGTTTCCTATCCTACTGTCTTGGGCGAGAATATGCCGGATGAGAACGAGGTCCCTATGCGTGCCAATACAAACTATGTAAGTCTTATGCTAAATTTTAGTTAATGCTATTTGATTACAATAATTTTATTTTAATAAATATTTATCATATCTTTTTTTCCTTCTATTTTTTGTAGTGGGTGGACCGTCTTGCCAGCTTACATCGAACTGTGTGCAGGATTTTGCAGGTTTTGATCTTGTGCTGGCGGCGCAGTACGCAGACAAATTGATTAAAATTAAGTTGGATTACGCCAATTCAAAATAATGATGTAATGAATGTTTTTTTTAATTGTAAAACATTAATGAGATTGTTGTGCATTGTTTATTTTTATTAGACTACATTATTTAAACTCAAATATTCCATAACAATGATGTTTGATATAATCAATGTGAAAACGAACCCCTTAATTTTTTAGGCTTTTACACACGAGTCGTGTGGGCGACCCACACGAGTTGTATGAACCCACACGAGTTGTGTCAGTCTTTCACACGATTGTGAGGAAAAGCTGAACAAAATTAAGGGGTTCGTTTTTACCACACGAGTCGTGCGGAAGACTCGCGCGAGTCGTGTGTACTCACACGAGTCGTGTGGGTCTGTGACACGAGTCGTATGGGGTCACACGACTCGTGTGGGTCACCCAGACTCGCGTGAAAAATCTGAACCAAATTAAGAGGTTCATTTTTAGCACACGAGTCGTGTGGGTCTCCCACGCGACTCGTGTGGTGAAAACGAACCTCTTAATTTGGTTCGGCTTTTCTACCTGAGTCGTGTGGGCTACACACACGAGTCGTGTGTCCCAACACGAGTCATGTCATTTTTACCACACGACTCGTGTAAAATTACAGAACAAAATTAAGGGGTTCTTATGCATTATTTCTTTTATTATTATATTCGAACTAAAATATTCCATAACAATAAAAAAAAAAAGACAACCAAAGAATCTCGTTCTTATATTCAACATGGTCTATTTTGACGGTCAAACCACATTTGCAATCTATGCTATTACAGTATTACTGATCCTCCCACCCTGAACTGAAGCAGTCCGACTACTGAACCACATACTATGAATAGGCGGTAATGGACAATCAAGAGTCAAATCAACACGAATGTAGTGTTCGTAGGACCCAAGATGACACAACAAAATCTCACGTCGTGGTCGTGTAGTCGTTGATGGTGCAGAGAGTGGCAATATTGTGCAACTGAACTGGTTGTACTGACGACCATCGCGACCAGAGACTAACAAAATAACAACCGCATTAAATAGGGTTGCAACATGGTAGAGGTCATATGAAGTTTCCATCCAGTGACCCTGGACACAAAGGCCCCCGTCCCACCTTATTCGACTGAGTGCGACATTGATATCTCTGAAGTAGATGTACGCGTACAAGTAACGGTGGCTGTAAATCTCATTGGCAACGTTCTCTCGTACGAGTTGCCAAATCTCCTGGCCCCGTAAACGTAACTCGCGATGACCTAAAATCCGCAGTTTCCATCCGTCGTCATATTCTTTTTTTTAGCCGAAACGATAGAGAATTTATATAATAAACGCACAAATGTGCAAAGATACAACTTGGAGCGCAGCCCAAAGCTGAATAAAATGGGAGGACAGGTCTGACGACCGCCTAGAAGCCCGACACTAGCCAACGCTAGAAACCAAAACAAGACACTCGAAACAACCACACAACAAACACACAGAAAATCTACAACTAAAAAACTCCCCACATGAGAATAGAGACAGGAGCTGATCCCCACAGGATAATAAATTGCTCCGCTCACACAGAGGCCAACGGCCCACACCAAAGAGACAATACATAAAACACTCGGGTAAAGAACCCAGACCAAAAACACATAACTAACACAAACTCAAGCAACAGGTAAAGAAAACAAAATAGTGCCCTTCCACAGCAAACGAAAGAGTCAAACCCGCAGTGAACGATCGACACAAGAAAGATTCTGAGCTCGAGCAACAACTACCGAAACTGCGATAACACCTATACAGTAGAATTAACCGAACCCCAAAACCAATCCCCGAATCAACCCGTCCCCAACCAAGAGAGCAACGACCACCTCCACACCAGACCCACTCGAACTCGTCAAACACCACTAGCCGAGCTCGAAAGAACCCGATCCCCCGCCGCCTAACACCACTAACCGCACAAGGGAGGGTGAGAGTGGCTCGCCC